TTTCTTTTTTTTTTTTCTCCCCCCTCCCACACCCCTACCAGGACGTTTGGCAAAGCTACAAGACTTTTTTTTATTATTGCTCTGACAGTAAAATAGGGAGTTGCTAAAGTCATACCAAGAGATTTGCAGCTCTCACTCACAACACCTGAAGGGTTCTTGGTAAAGTCCCTTAAAAATAGGAGGTGCTTGGGAATATGCTTTGCTTTGGGTGTGTCTGAAGCCTCATTAAGTCTTAGGTAAGAATTGGCATGGATGCCATATCCTGGTACATGATAATTTTCTCACCTGTGCCCTAACCCTGTTCTCCTTCCTTTCTGGGGAGAAGGGGTAATGGTGTCTAGATCTGGGTTCTTATTTTCTTTAGCATCTTTTGTGACATATCAGTATTTGGTGTTTGCATAGCATTGGTGAAATCCTATAGAGTGGCTGGGTTTAAGGAGGCATTACTAACAGTGTTCTTCCACTTCCTTCCTTCAGAGGAAGAACAAGAAGATGAAGAAATTGATGTGGTGTCTGTGGAAAAGAGGCAGCCCCCTGCCAAGAGGTCCGAATCAGGGTCATCCCCATCAGGAGGCCACAGCAAACCTCCACACAGCCCACTGGTCCTCAAGAGGTGCCATGTCTCCACTCATCAGCACAATTATGCAGCGCCCCCCTCCACGAGGAAGGACTATCCAGCTGCCAAGAGGGCCAAGTTGGACAGTGGCAGGGTCCTGAAACAGATCAGCAACAACCGCAAATGTGCCAGCCCTAGGTCCTCAGACACCGAGGAGAACGACAAGAGGCGGACACACAACGTCTTGGAACGTCAGCGGAGAAACGAGCTCAAGCGCAGCTTTTTTGCCCTGCGTGACCAGATCCCGGAGTTGGAAAACAATGAAAAGGCCCCCAAGGTAGTTATCCTCAAAAAAGCCACCGCCTACATCCTGTCCATCCAAGCGGAGGAACACAAGCTCATCTCAGAAAAGGACTTACTGAGGAAGCGGCGAGAACAGTTGAAACACAAACTCGAGCAGCTTCGAAACTCTGGTGCGTGAACTGACCTCGCGTGCGCGAGGAGGAGCTGGGATCGCTCGTGTATTCTCACTCCTTACTCAGGGAGAGTAAGGAGAACGGTTCCTTCTCTTAGAACTGATGCGCTGGACTTGAAATGCATGCTCAAAGCCTAACCTCACAACCTTGGCTGGGGCTTTGGGACTGTAAGCTTCAGCCATAATGTTAACTGCCTCAAACTCTAGGCATAAAAGAACTTTTTTTTATGCTTCCCATCTTTTTTCTTTTCCTTTAACAGATTTGTATTTAATTGTTTTTAAGAAAAAAAAATCTTAAAGTTTACCCACTTTTCCCATGTAAATAGGACCCTTAAATGTAAATAACTTTAATAAAACGTTTATAACAGTTATACAAGATTTTAAGACATGTATTATAAACCATAATTTTTTTTATTTAAATACATTTTCATTTTTAAAGTTGATTTTTTTCTATTGTTTTTAGAAAAAAATAAAATAATTGGAAAAAATATAACTGAGCCAACTCCTACGTTGTGTTTTGTTTCCTCTCCCTCTCCATTTTCTCTTCCTCAACTACAGATTGACAGAATTCGACCATTTTCACAAGGTGGGTTGACAAAGCTGGGAAGAGTAAGAAAGGCAAGGGGGTTTCATTGTTAAAATGGGGTTGGGGGCCTCGAGGCCTTTAAATTCTCGGGGTTAGGAGACACTTCCTGCAAATGGTGATAAGAACCAGAGTTGATAGTTAGGAAAGGGCAAAAGGCGGGGGAGAAGGTTAGATGCAGGAGAAAGAGAAGCAAGAGGTTAAAAGATAACAGTTAAATATACAGAGAGGGAAGGGATGGCAAAATCCCCTGCAGTTAACTGAAGACATTCCCCCTGTTCACTTCAAGCCAGGGACTCTGCCCTGCAGAGGAGCTGATGGGGGAAGGGAGGGAGCCCCCTCTTATTCTTCCCCTATGGCTCCCAGGTTGCGGCAGTCCCTTCGCCTCACTTATCTCCTAAGCCTCCGAAGAACCTGAGGAAGAATACTACCACTGCCTGGTTTCCAGAACAAAGTATAAAGGTCCAGAGAAGGTTGTCGAACTCAATTCGTGATGACCCAGAACAAAAATCAGAAGGCAGGCTGCCATGCCTTGGCTCATCTGGGTGTCCTCAGCTGGGGAAAGCTGCTGGTTAGGGGCCTGAGAAGGAACTCCACTTGGGCCATGCACTGTTCTGAGAAGTCTAAGGCAGTGCCAAGAGGTACTGGGATTTGCTCATACTATACAGATAAAAACAGACATGAAATGACCCATCTGTGCACCCAAGGGATTCAGCATCAATTAACACTTAGTTTATCCAGTAAGACTAACCCTGCTACCTATGAGAACAGGAGTCATTTAAGTTTCAGTATTCAGACCTACTCAGGCATCAGTTCCCCTCTTTTTGCTGGTGGGTTTTCTGAGGTTTTGTGGGGATTTTGGGGTGTGGGGGTTATGTTGTTGACTGTTGCTTAGTCTTTTACTCTGAGAAGCACATAGCTCATTCACCTCGGTCTTACCCATTTTTTTTTTTTTTTTACACATCAGATTCCTGCTTGCCCCTGGGAAGAAGCCAGTTTGGAAAGGCTACTGTTCAGATCATAAAATAAAACATACTTAGGCTTTGTCATGTGAGTCATTATTTTAGAAATTGCAAGCTCTCCTTCCTCCCAAGCACTTTCACACACTCATGACACATGCTCATCATTAGTCCATGAGAAGGCATTTTTGAATGGGTGTCTTATTAATTATAAGTCTCTGAAAACCCACAGACCAAGCCAGAAACTGGAACACATCAGACGAGGCCACAGGAAGGTACCCTAAGCATTCTAAATGACTTCGTTGTCTCAGAGAAGGTCTCTAGCATCCTGGAGTGTCTTTGGGACTTGAATCTACCATCACTCATAAACCAATAAGTAATCCTGTCTTTGGCCTCCTAAAATAAATTGATTCAAGCAAGCATTTAACGTTCAGTTTTTGATCTTTTCTTTTGGGCTCTTTTAGACCCACCCTCAACTTCAAACTGTCACACCCTCTATCCTAAATTCAAAGGAAAAGACAAAACCCAGACACTGAATAGTTCAAAGGGTAACGAAAGGGGGGGGGTTGCTCTTAAACAGTTCCCTCTTTGCCCCTTTGTGGCCCTAGGCTGGAGTGTAGCCCTGGCATGACTCACTGGAGCATTGGGAAGATGGTAGGTGAATCACTATGTCCAGGCAAGCCCAAGGAATGGGAGAGCAGTCCTCGTTAGGAAAACAACTCCCTGTTCCAAATGATCAGGAAACAAGCTTAAGGATTTAGAGTTTGCCTGTGGGGGATGGAAGGGAAGTATCCCAGGTGCCTATCAGGGTACCTCTCAGCTTTACCATGCCAGGGAATGAGCTGAAAACAGGACATCAGCCAGCTTCCTTCCAGAAAGTCAGGAAAGTTCTCATAGCCAGTCTGGATTCCCAGGGGTCTGGGACATTGTGCAATCAAATTAGTACGTAGTAATCAAGATGAGGGGTGAAGGGGGAGGAGCTTTTGATGCAGCCTGGATTATGCAAAATTTAGCTAATCTCAATCATTTAGCCATGACATTGGGACTGGGGGCTCCCCCAGAGGATTCCCAGGATGGTGTTGTTCAGGGATAGGCTGGACAAGGAAGAAGGAAGGGCTATTTCATGCTGCCATTTGGGGGCAACATTGGAGACCAACATTAGAGAGCAGTCAATCCAACTAGAAGATGAACAAAGTTTTCACAACCACAGAACAGTACTTGGATCATTCCAAGCTTGGATATGTAAGCAGAGTCCTCTGCTGGTCTTTAAGACAAACTTTGGCACCAAGTTTGGAAAAGAGGACAAAAAAAAAAAAGTGAGGGGATTTTCTGTGGCTTGTTTACAATAACTGATGACTCATTCAGTTAATAATTATTTTTTAGCATGACTGTTAAGGGACCCTGAAGCATTTCTTCCCTACAAAAACTAATCCTTAGGTTATAACATGCTGGAAGATGGTCCTCAAGCCTGTCTGTAAATATACCACTAGGTACCTTCAGGGAACAAACGTTTCATTTAAGGTTAGAGAGCACTCTAGGTCTATTTCAAAGGAGGGGGATGTAGAAACCAAGTCTCAAACAGGACAAGAGCAGGGGCTTTGTGGGGGAGGAGCTGAGGATCGAACCCAGGGCCTTGTGCTTGCTAGGCAAGTGCTCTACCACTGAGCTAAATCCCCAACCCCACAGGGGCTTATTTTAAACAATGAAGCCTGGACTGTGGTTGTCTTTCATTGAAAGGACACTTGCTTGGCATGTATAAGGACCCATGCTTGATCCCCAACACTACAAAAATAAATAAAACTAGACTAAAAGGATACCCCTACTCATTACCAAATTCTTAGCAAACTTTTGTTGTTGTTGTTTGATCTCTTTATGGAGAAATGCAACAAACTGCCAATTTAGGGAGAACACCCAGTGACCGAGGCTTTGCCAAGCTGGTGTAAGTTGACTAAATGACTGAGTGGATTTCCCTTTTGAGATTTATTTCACTCACTCTTAGGCTACACTAAGCTCTTTAGGAAGACAGGGTTGAGGGGAACAAGTGTTAATGGGATGTAGATCTTCTGAGGCCGAAAGGAATGTCCTTTGTTCCTAAACAATGCCTAGGGGCTCCACCACAACCCCCAACACTCTCTTCCAGTTGTCCCCACAACATCCCATTAAAGGCTGAACACCACAGTGCAGCCAGAGGTCTGTAGAGTTGGTGATCAGGAGCTCTGGGGAAAGCTATGTTAGAATACACCTGCTATCTGCAGGACCCCCACAACCAACTCAGCTGGAGGACAGTTGTTGAATGTGACAATACTGAAGTTTATACACAGACATGTTAAATTGCTAGCCCAAAGTCACATAATCACTAACAATAATAGCAGTCAATGTTTACTGTGTGCTAAAAATTTGACAGACATTATCTCATTTTATTTCTAAAGCATCTCTTTTTGTTGTTGTTGTTTTTGGTTTTTGTTCGTTTGGTTGGTTGGGTTTTGGTTTTTTGAGACAAGGTTTTTCTGTGTATCCCTGGCTGTCTTGGAACTTGCTCTGTAGACAAGGCTGGCCTCGAACTCAGTGAACTTCTGTCTCACAAGTGCTGGGATTAAAAGCATGCTCTATTATGCCCAGTTTATCTCAAAGCAACACTTAGGAAGTAAACTCTCTTTCTTTCTTTCTTTCTTTCTTTCTTTGGGGGGAAAGGGTCTTACTATGTAGCCCTGACTGGTCTAGAACTGAGAGAGCTACCTGCCTCTCCCTACTGAGTACTGGGTTTAAAGGTGTATGCCTCCCGACCCAGCAGTGAATTCTATTTGTAATGTCCTTGTTGTACACAAGACCAAGACCGGGAGCTGTTGATTTGCCTGCATTCACAAAACTGAAAAACAATGAGAGCAGATATTATTTAGATTATTTATTCGATCGTACATATTTGAGTCCCTACTATGCATTCATACTGTGCATGTGTGTGTACTGAGGGATGGGGGGGGGGGATAATAATAAATAAGCCATAGCAGATCCCGCCCCGGGTATTTGTAATCTGGCTGTGAACAAAGAAAGCAACAAACACTGAGGCACTAAGTCAGTTTATTGCCTTTTTCAATATGCTATTTTTAATTTATTGCACTGGGAATAGACTCCAGGGCCTCGTGCATGCTAGGTAAGTGCTCTATGATGAGTAACATCTCCAGAGACTGTGGGATTTTTTTTATTAAAAGTTTCAGGGCACTTCAATGGAGTAGGTGGGAGTTCAAGCCCTGGGAACATAGAACGAGGACAGAGTCTGGGAAGTTTTGAGAAAGAAGCTAAAGCAAAGGCATCAAGAGCAGATTGCAGAAAGCCCAAATGAGGGAGAGCGAATGCCAGAAGGAGGCTTTGCTATTTGAACTGTATCTAAGGCAGCAAGAGGTAAGGCAAGGACCCACTGGGTTAGGCAAGAGGAAGCTTCTCCAGGCCACACCTTCTGTCTCCATTCACCCACCCACTATCCTCCTGCTCCTTCATCTGCTTGAGACCACGGCCTGTAGTTAGGTAATTAGCTGTCCCAGCACCCAGCCCTCCTGCAGTACTTTGGTTTTTTGTTTGTTTGTTTTTGAAGCAGGATCTCACTATGCAGGCCAGGCTGGCCTCAAACTCTAGAACCTCCTGCCTCAGCCCATTGAGTGCTGGGATTGGTTTCAGTATTTTCTCCAGGAATTCCCACTGTATGGTTCTCAGATGCAAAGACATTCATATTCTCAGTTAAAATGCTATTTTTGCTTTGTTTTGTCTTGTCGTGTTTTGGTATGTGGTTTTGTTTTTGTTTTGAGATAGAGTATCCTATTGCCAAGGAATTGAACTCACTGTGT